ATTTGAACACAAATCACAATAATAAAATTATCTAGAATATTAAGCCCATTTACACATCACCTCGTAAGTATGAAATAAGCGGAGGAATACACCGGAAGTTTTTTCAACTTTCTTCCGGATTTAGGAAGCTTGTTATTGTTTACATTCAGTCAACCATCCACATAGTTCGTCTAAAGTCAGAACTCCTCTAGCCATTTGTCTGGACCCTTGGTGGTGACTATGGTAAAGAGGTATAACTATTTCAAGTAGGGGTGTGGAGTTGATGATTAGGGCAAGTTCTGGCTCATCTCAGCGAGAGAAAGGGAATCTCTTTCTTTTGTCTACTATGCTAGCCCTAGAGTGAAGAGGAGCTACCCTTCCTGAAATGTGCTATGCTATTCTTGTTTCATAGCAGAAAACAGTCTCAGACTTTGTGGTGGGGGGAGTTTTTACCGTAGACAAACTATATTTTATTTTTATTTTATAACCGTCGTTGAACAGCCGACCCAATTTCATGGGTTTACAACTACTTACGTTCAACTCCGTAGCCTTGTAATTTTGAACCAATCCAGAAGACAAGGAAACTCCTGGATCAGTACCCCCAGAGGTATTGATTTGTTGTGGGAACATGGAGGACTTTGAGACTCGACAGATTTAACGTGCATCAGTCACCATTTACTACACGGGGAGTCTTCGGCCGGCGAGGATCGAACCCACGACCTCTTGGATATGGGCCCAGCGCCCTACCGACCAGGCTATCCCGGCCCTGTAGACAAACTATAGATAAAATTCTCTGGGGATGCTCCGTTAACGTCCGTAAACTCTGTAAAAGTGATCCATATTTAAACATAATCTTTCAATACAGATGCACACTTACAATATATCTTAAGTAACACTTCTTCACTTTGACCTTTTCCTTCAGAGTTGAAGGCTTCACATTGATAAGAGCCTTTGTGACTTTGATCGACACTATGGAGATGAAGTGAGTGATTTCGGATGCTGACACCTCTAAGAGAATCTTTAGCAACATTTTGACCTTGAAAGATCCACTTAATGTCAGTTATTGAAGGGTTGGATTGAATGTTACATTCGAAATATACGTCACTTCCTTCGTGGATATGTGCGTGTTGCACGCTAGCACCAAAGACAAGAGTAAGCTGAGGTGGGTCTGTAAATAAATTTTAATTAGACAATCAGTAAAATCTGCAAAAATCACTTTAACCATTTGCTTACGGTGTTTCATGCTGTACTATTACATGTGGTTTACATGTTGTACCAGCCGTAAGCACAAGGTTAAGTCTTCAGGAATACTATAAATTACAAAACTCAGTGGCTTGCCAACGCTCTTTTTGTTGTTGTAGTTCATTTACGTTGCACTAAAGCTGCACAATGGGCTATTGGCGATGGTCTGAGAAACATTTCCGAGGATGATCCGAAGACAAGCCATCCCAATATTGATCAGGGTGAGTAGCCAAATTATTCACCAAAAAATAAGCACCTTTTAAGCACTTTGCAAGCACTAAAAAAATATTTTTCAGCACTTAAAAAATATCTTAATTAGGCAGGGTAGGAAAGTTTTTGACANTTATGCTTTAAAAAATATAAACTGCCAAAGTGCTTAATTTAAATCATTAAACTATATTAAAGTTAACAAACCCTAATAAGTTTAATTTTCTGAATACAATACATTTTTAGTAATGAAAAATAACTGATATGCTGTGTTTAACACTAGATTGCCTAAGGAAGTCATTTTGACTGCTTTTTCAATTTTAATTAGAACAACAATGATTGACACAATTTCTTAGAATTTTTTGACTTTTTGTACAACATATAATTTCTTTTATTCTTAATATTTACTAATAACTTGTTATATAACTGTAAATAATGTAAAAAATATTAAAAATTAATTTTAAACAAATTTCTTTACACATTAGTTATTCTTTCACAATGCAATCATTTTGACTGCTTTTAGGCAATATAAGTATATACTAAGTTTCATTCTTTCTGTTGTTAAAGAAATTTAAAAAATAAATACACATTATCAAATATACTGTGTAATAAAAATGATAATATATGACAATATACCGATAAAGTATTAAATTACAGAGGGATATTTAAAGAAAAACTAAAACTATAAAATTTTGCCAGTCAACAAACTATCAATTTAACTCTTCCATTTTATTTTAGGACTTAAATAATAGATAAAAAGAGGGAAAATATTTTATGTAAGCACTTCCGATGGGCCATCAAACGTGGTAAATACATTATGGATTAGAACTTCTTGTTTCCAATTGAAAGCCATTACTATTTTATATCACCTGTCTCAAACACTCTGAGTTTTGAACAAGTACATCAGGCAAGCTTGAGTGCGTACCTGTTATAGCGTTTTTTAACACCATTTTTGAAGTAATTTGAAGCACATCGAAACCACTGATGGAAGAAGGTCAGAAATAAAATGTTTTAGAGAAAAAAAGCGTCTTTTTTCCAATAAAACTTTAGATATTTGTATTCCATAAGTATTACATGAGATTCGATATCTTCAGTATATGTCATGATACGAGTGCGATAGATTTATAAAGTATCAAAACTGAATTTTTATAATATAATTATATTATTTTTTTCTAGTATTAGTTCATACTCTCCCTATATCTTTTTCAAATTTTCAATCCAATTTTGTAAATACAACATTTAACAACAATGAACGAAATTGATTGAATAGTTCCTGAGGAATCCAATTTTAAATATACTACTTCGTTAAAATTCAATTTATCAAAAGCTATTCGACCGATTTCGTTCAAATTTTGTATTTTGCCATAAAATACAACATTTAAACTAAATTAGATTAATAGTTCCTGAAAAAGCCAATTTTAAATATACTACTTAGTTAAAATTCCATTTATCAAAAGCTATTCGATCAATTTCGTATGTTCATGCTTGTAATATTCAGGCTTGTATTTTTGCCATAAAAATTACATTGTTTGAAATGATACCTAACAATTTATGCATCTTTTGACTATCATTTAATAAAACATAAAAAATAACAATTAAAAATTATTTTTTTGCATGAAATTATCTTTCAATAAATGGATTTTATAATCGTATGAAAAATTGTGTATAGCTTACTAGTAAAAATGTTTAATCAATTTTTAAACAAAATAATAAGATATAATAAATTATATTACCAAAATTTTCTTTTGCTTTTGATAATTGAATTTAATAATTGAGTGAAAAAAAAATTTTTTTTTATGGGTTTAAAAATTTCTCGAGGTACATAGAAATTCTCGAAAAGTAAAAACAACATTAAGGGCTTCAAACACTGGATCGCTCTCCTCACCGAACTATTGGGTATATATTTCTCAGATTGCGGCTACCCTTTATAGTTCGGAGAACAGGAATTCGAATCCGTAGAAAATAACATACGTTTATTCAGAGGAGGTAAGCTTTTGTGTCTCATTTCGTAACTTTAATCATAGTCTGTACTTATTATGTACTTATGAACTAGCATATTCCAGATCATCTTTTCGAACCATTTAGAATGAGTCTGATATGTGAAAATTCGATCATTAAATCGAAAGTTTTTCAGGGTTTTTCCGCTTTTTTACATAGCAATGAAATTCAGAGAATAAGCTAACGTTGAATTTCGAAAAGTGTACTTTGACACGGTTAACGTTTAAGTTCTAGAGTAAAATGCATCTTTTTTATTTAAGCATGTAGTCCGTGGAGATCGAGATTCACACAGAAAGTAAAAGTTTATTTGCATTAAACAGACAAAAACATACAACCTTAGAAAGAACGCCATCTAGCGGTATTAAAAAGAAAAGCAATACTTCCGTGGGAATGACAACAATCTCCCCCTGCGAGAAGGATTTTACTTTTTAATACAAATAGCAATATATTTTTTTATATTGTTATCCGTCATTGAACAGCCAACCCAGTTTTGAATTTACAACTACTAATGTTCAACTCAGTAGCCTTGTAATTTTGTACCAATCCAGAAGACAAGGAAACTCCCGGATCAGTACCCCCAGATGTATGATTTATTATGGGAACATGGAGGGCTTTGTGACTCGACAGATTTAACTTGCATCAATCACCATTTACCACACGAGGAGTCCTCGGACGGCGGGGTTCGAACCCGCGAACTCTTTAACGTAGGCCCAGTGCCCTACCAACCAGACTATTCCAGTTTTGTTTTTTAAATTTTTTTAAAACTTTTTTTAAATTTAAAAAGAATGCCATCTGGCGGTATAAAAAAGAAACAAACTTCATGGCAATGCTTTCCTGGAAAGGACAACAAAACACAAACAGAATAATACTCACACAAAATGTTTAGAGTCCAGCTGTCGTGTAAGGAACTTCTTGGAAGCTTTGGGTTTAAAGCTTCACACGTCAACGTTTTGTTGTGATCTTCAATTTTAGGAACAAAAGTAAGAGTGCTGAAAGTTATGCTTCCATAGATGTTTTGCACAGCTAAGTGATCGATGTTTTCTAAACCTTTTCTCCAAGATATCCCAGCTGGTGGTCTCGATCCTTCACTCTGACAGTTGATCTCAATTTTTGATCCAACTTTTAGAGAACCGAAGATGGTGGAGATCTGTACATTTAAGGGTTTCACTCGTTGAGGAATAAAAGAAAGAGAAAAGAGAGTTGAAAGTTGGTTGAATAAGAAGCAGCATCAACACATATTTGCAATAGAAAATAGTTTTAGTAAAATAGGTTCGTACCAGAGTTGGACAAAAATGTAATCGATTACAGTAATACATTACTTGTAATCATGATTACAAGATAACATAATTTTGATTACTGTAATTGTTAATTGCAATCACGATTGCAGCTGTAATCAATTACTTGTAATCGTGATTATTACTTTGATTACAGCTGTAATCGTGATTACAATAGTTGGTTACAATAATCAATTGCTTGTAATTGTGATTACAATAGTCGATTACGGTAATCAATTGCTTGTAATCTTGATTACAATTCACCAAAATTTTGATTACAACTGTAATCATGATTCCCAATAATTGCGATTACAAGTAATCACAACAAATTCGATTGTTTGTAATTACAAGCAATTGATTACAGTAATTTGTTATGTAATCACGATTACAGTTGTAATAAAAATTATAAATGTTTGTAATCATGATAACAAGTAATTTATTACTGTAATTTAGTGTTGTTATTAAAATTACAGTTCTAATCAAAATTGGTAATCATGATTACAAGTAATTGCGATTCAAGTAATCACAACAGTAATCACGATTCAAGTAATCACAACAATTACTTATAAAAATGCAAGAAACTCGGAATGTACGTAACTGAACCGTAAGATGAGTTTAATGCATAGAATCATCCTTGGAAAAGAATCATCCTTATAAATTTTAGAGGAAAGCACTAGAAGGCATCAAATATTAAAAACAGTACATCAGTCGCAGTGTCAAACAAAAAGGTTTGCTTCAAGACATGGCATAAAATTCACGAATACAAAATAAATTGCAAATAATAAAGGAATTAAGCATTTACAGGATGCGTATCCAGATTTCTCAACAAAAAGTAAGCACCTTTTAAGTATTTTTAAAGCAGTCTAAAAATATTTTTAATCACTTTCCAAAAAAAAAATCATAGTTAGGATCTGCGCAGTAATAAAAATTATTTTTTTCCATTCGCTTAAAGTTCTTAATTTATAAACATAAAATCAATAAAATTCAAAAACTTTACATAACCATGGTAAAATAACTAGTTTCTGATAAATATTACAGAGAAAATTGTAAAAAATCATGTATTTTTTTTTTGTAATTTAGTACGATAATGGACACGGAATGTCGTCTAGTATTTTTTGAAAAACCAAGCACTTTTACAGGTTTTTGAAAAACGGAAATCAAAAATAAGCACCTTTAAGCACTTTTTAAAAACGCATTTACTTTATATAATAACCTGCCTTTTAAAAAAATATAAGCAACCTAAAATTAACTTTTATACTTACAGATCATATCGATAGTTACAGATGTCTCAATCGGCTCAGTGATGTTACTATTGGACGCTTGACAAGTCAATACAGTCAATAAGTCTTCTCTTCTGAGAGAATGTAAAACTAATTCACTCTTGACAGACCGCTGATCTTCAAACGCTGGAGTGCTTCTGAGAGTCTTGGAGTCTTTAAGCCATGTTAGTGTAGGGGTAGGATAACCTTGAGTGTTAAATTTAATTTTTAGTGAAATTTTTTAAAAAATACAGGGTGTCCCAAAACTCATGGTACATTGGTTGGAAATGATAGAAAACAACTAGACAAGCACAAAACAATCCAAGATTGGAACGCAAGAGCACGAAACATGCTGAGTCACGAAACTTTCTTTAATAACCGTCGTTGAAGACCCAACCCAATTTTTGGGTTTACGATTATTAATATTCAACTCCGTGACCTTGTAATTTTGAACCATTCGAGAAGACTAGAAAACTTCTAGATCAGTACTCCCAGAGGTATTATTAGCTATGGGAACATGGAAGACTTTGCGACTCGACAGATTTAACGTGCATCAGTCACCATTTACTACACGGGGAGTCTTTAGTCAGTGGGTATTGAACCCATGACCTCTTGGACATGGGCCCAGTGCCCCACCAAGCAGGCTATCCCGGCCAAAAGGAAATTAATTGACACTAAGTCCCCTATCTCAGGAACTGCTCAAAATTGCGACCATCAACAATAATGCAGGTTTCACACAATTGAATAAGTGATCCCCGTACATTGACGAAAACACCAAGACTCCCTCCTAAGGTGTCAACAGCTACGAATATTCGGACAATAACGTGTTCAGCAGAATCTATAGGACCATCGTCATAGATGAGGCTCTGGGTCATATGACCACCGAAGAAAAAGTCCAGACTTAAAATTAAAAGCCCAGACCCAGAAGGAAAGTCCTTGCCCTTTCGCTCGTTATGACTTGCGTTTGGACTCTGGATTGTATGGAGATTTGTGATTGCCTAGTTGTCTTCTATCACCCCGTAACGTATATACCATGATGTTTTGGAACACCCTGTATGTTAAAACATAAATTAAATAGTTTTGGATTTATGCACGCCTTTGTCAACTTCCAAGGTCATGAAAATATTAATTTAAACAATAAAATATAAAACTCTTTTCAAAGTTGATTAAATTGTTCTCAAAAAGTAAAATTCCGAAAAGATAAATTTCGCTCCCGACAAATTTATCACATGGTATCTTGTACAAATGCTTAACTGGTTTTAAGATTACAGCGTAAAACATAGTAAATAATTTTTACGCTTTTTTTCCCTTTAAATCACAGTAACACTCTTTTACAAAAAGGCTGGTTCAAAAATAAAGTATAATATCTGTACGTTGAACCATAACTATGCGAATTCGTTGCAGCTTCAAGATGTTGTTAAATTGAATCTCATGTTCTCGTTCTAGTTTATTTATAGCATCGTGTAACGACCCTAGTAACATTTATACATTGGGCTCAAAATTTACTCAATTGTTCCTGTATGATATGCTCCGATCCAATATTGAGATGTCTAGATTTCTTAATATTAGTGCTATGCAGTGCTATTAACGGCCTATATAGGCCCAATATGAAGCCTATATTGGTTGAATAATAATTATAAAATATCGGGTGATCTGACAATTCTATATAGGGCTGATATTGGTTTTAAAGTGACAGCAAAATATCGGGTGAATCTGACAATTCCATATAGGGCTGATATTGGTTTTAAAGTGACAGTAAAATATCAGGTGAATCTGACAATTCCATATAGGGCTGATATTGGTTTTAAAGTAACAGTAAAATATCAGGTGAATCTGATAGGACTGATATTGGTTTTAAAGTGACAGTAAAATATCGGGTGAATCTGACAATTCCATATAGGGCTGATATTGGTTTTAAAGTGACAGTAAAATATCGGGTGAATCGGACAATTCCATATAGGGCTGATATTGGTTTTAAAGTGACAGTAAAATATC